TCTTTCTGCTCCGTCATAATTAAGACACCGTTCTTTTGAGTTTCTTTCCTACAGTTTCTACTTTTCCAGGAGCAGTTCTTCTAGGTGATCTCTATCTTTCTTTATGGGAAGAAAAGTGATTGGAATATTCAACCCCAACCTTAAAACAAGCTTGATATGCCCAACGCACAGCTTCCATTATCTAACGGGCTGCATTCTGGGGTGCCTCACATAGTCATGGACAGCAGTGGACCTCCAGTTCAGACTTCTCTTCTCTCTGCAGCCTGCTGCACAGGTTTATTCTCTCTCCACTTTCGAAACATTCTTTTGCCAGAGAGTGCCTGTGCTCAGCAAGCTTCTCCCCTTGTGTCTTGGCTACACCTGCACTTCCCTCCTGCTTGTCTTGCCTTCTATCAACCGTGCCCTCATGCGTTGCTGCTCTCAAGGAAAAGGAGAAAAAGAGAAGAATGTTCCAGAGCAAAAAAATGTGACTTCTAAAGCATCTTGTTATTTTAAGCTACTGAATCTCCTTCTCATGCACTCATGATGGTGCCATTATTTGCCTCTGGGGCCTTATCTGTGCAATCATCTGCTGCTGGAGAGGGAAAATGTGGTGTCACGCGCCAGTGCTTTGGCACTGTTGTATGGGTAAAAACTACTCATAAAATCTTCTGCTTTGTTCTTAAGATCTAAACGTTATTTGCCAGTTCAAGGTACCGTCTCTGGCTTTGGCACATCACAGTCAATTCTGTTCCTGCCTCTTTGCAGCTCAGTCGGCGTCACCTTGCTCAATCTTCACTTCTGCAACCAAACATGCACCAGCCATTGTGGCCATACGCCATGCCAAACTCAGTTGGAGCCTCCATTAGGCGACCAAATCAGTGGATGTAATGACCCAGAGTGTATCAGAAATATAACAAAACCCAAAACATAACTAAAAGTCCTTCAATACCTTCAACTTGGCTTCACTGTTTCATTGTTCACAGCGGAGGAGTAAACTATTTTCAAAATAACATCTCAAAAGAAAGAAACACAGTTCAAATTCAAAGAGCCGATAATGAAGCAAAAACCGAAAACAAACTGCACTGAATAAAGTTCCAGGACAGACCAGGATAGATAATTGCCAACTTCAGGAAGATAACCAGGTACAGTCCATTGGAAGAACGCCAACCAAGATAAACCTTCTTTAGGAAAAAAAACACTAATTTGTCTCCAGCGTCTGTTAGCACACAGGTCCAACCTTTTATGCAAATCTCACACCTGCAACCCATGAAGAGGATCGTGGCCCTCTCCTCCCAAGCAGACCACTTTTTACCCTGATCCTCTCCTTCCTGCGTGCCCTAGGATGGATAGGGGGTGGGCCTGGCTCCTCCTCTGACTGCTCAGCCAGCCTCTGCCCTTCCCCAGCCTCCTCCACCTCCTCTGGAGCCACACTCCCACTCCCTGTTGGCTGTTCCTCCTCTTCCTCAGAGTCAGTCTCCACCAGGGGCAGGACAATGGGCCTGTCTAATCCTTAAGAGAGGCCAGGAGAAATGGAATGTGTGCTTTAGCCATCTGATAATGTACAAAATGGCTTGAGGAAGATCTGGAAAAACCACATGCCTTTTTGTTGACCAAAATGAAATTTGGGGGGCTCGTATGGACACGGGCAGATAAGATCAAAGGACCATTAATCCACACTGCTTTGGAAAGGCAGAATCCTCTAGCAGTGAATAACGATCCAGAGATCTCTGCAAACATCACACACAACCCTTACAAAGCAAAAACCAGGCTGGCTCAGAACAATCCTGATATCCATTGTAAATAAGACATACGTGGGTAGAAATTTCACTCCGGGTTATTCATTTGCACACAGAAGGCATAACTGATTCTTTCTTATTCCCCCACTAAAGATGTTGACCAGGGTTTTTCAAACTTGGCAATTTTAATGGTGTGTGGACTTCAGCTTCCAGAATTCCTCAGTCAGCATGAGTTGAAGTCCACACATCTGAATGTTGTCAAGTCTGAAAAAGAGTGCCATAGATTTAATTTCTCCCATGAAGGGCTTCTCAGGTATGCTGGATTACACTTCCCAAGAATTCCCATGGTGGCTTGTCAGGGATGCTGGTTGAAGTTACAGCAGAGTAGCTACTACTCACCCCTTCCCTTAAAATTTAGTCAGGTAAAAGCAACCCATTAATGAATAAAGATACTTCAAGGACACCCTCCTCCAGGTAGAATTATCTGGCTTCAGGTGAATACACATAGTTCTCATTTTACAACTAATTGCTTAGTGACTGTTCAATGTTATTATGATGGACCCCTCCTCCCAAAAGATACTTAGGACCCGAATTCAAAGTTCCAATAGCCGCACCTGTCCCCAAGGTTATATGATCACATTTTGGGCACTTGGCAACCAGCCTGCATTTACAGCTGTTTGCAGTATTTTACAATTTATGACAGATTTATGGCATTTATTTCCGATTTCTGGAAAAAAAAAGTCCCATTGTAGACAATGGGTTTGCTTAATGACAAATAATGTTATAAAATCAGATTGGTCATGTGGGAGCATCGATTTACAACTGTTATGGCAAACAACAGAAACTGTAGGCTCCATTATAATCATAAGTCATATTATTTGTATGCAGGGAAGCATGCTTACCATCCTGTCCTCAAGGAGACATGGTCTAAGAATTATTATTTTTATCTTTTGGAATGATTTGGTTGATTCTGTTTTAAAAGTATTCTTTGTAAACCATCTAAAGTATGGGAGAAAAAGAGTAAGGGCATGCAAACAAGCAAGTAAATAAACAAATATCAGGGCATCACAATGCTTGAATGCTTCAGCCTCTTTAAATACTTGTGCCTGACATCCTACAACAAGCAAACACCGCAGGATCGCATGCAACCAGAAAGGAAAGGAAAATAAAAAATCTTCTCTATTTGATATGACAACAGTAGTTCACATATTTTACTTATCGTAAAATATTTATATCTCAGTTCCTCTTCCTTGGTTTCTTAACTTTGCTGCTAGCCCTACTGAAGGCTTTGTAAATTCTCCATGAGTTGCAATTTCACTTTGCAACTAAAATCTTTTTACACCAACGGCTGGTGGAACCCCACGCCCCACTCACCTCATCCTGGAAAGCTTTAAATAAATAAATGAATAATAAAAAAATAAAATAAAAATAAGAAATAAAATAATAAAATATAAAATAACATAATAAAAAATGAAATAAAAAATAATACAATAATAAAATATAAAATAAAATATAATACAAAATAAGATATATAATAAAATAAATGAAAATAAAATAATACAAAACAATACAATAATAAAATAATTTTGCCATGGTTGTTAAGCCAATCATTGCAGTTATAAAGCGAACCCAGATTCCCACATCGACTTTGCTTGTTGGGACCCTGCTAGGAAGGTAGCAAAGGGTGATCATGTGAACCTGAGACACTGCAATCATCGTAAATACATTCCGGTTGTCAAGATGCCTAATTTTGATCAGATGATCATGGTCAAAAGTGTGGTGGGATTCAAATTTTTTTACTACCGGTTCTGTGGACGTGGCTTGGTGGGCGCGGCGGGGGAGGACACTGTAAAATCTCCAGTCAGAGGTGGTATTTGCCAGTTCTCCAAACTACTCAAAAGTTCCACTACTGGTTTTCCAGAACTGGTCAGAACCTGCTGAATGCCACATCTGCACCACAGGTTGGTTCTTTGCTGTTTCTAGAGCGACCCCACGGGCCGGATCTAAACACTCCACGTGCGGGATCCATGCCCTGGGCCTTACGTTTGACACCCCTGGGATAGACTATTAAAGCTACATGCCTGAGTATAGTGTGTGCAGACTTTGCCTTATGTAGCAGAATCAAGGCTGTGTATCTGGAAAAGGGAACGCTGTTTGACAGATGAGAAGATGTCGAACAAAATGTTTTTAATTGTTTCTTTTTTTAAAAAAAAAAGTTCATTTCATTCTCAGGCTTTAGCCATCCCATAACAGCAAATCGCTCTTTTGAATTCATCCTTGTTTGCTGCCGGTGGGGAAAATGAACACAAAGTTAAAATAAAGAAGGGCTCTGAAGATTCAAGAATGTCTTCTCTCTTATTCCATGACTAGTCTTCCAGATAAGCTGGAATACAGTTCCCATCTCCTCTGCCCATCGAGGCCAGTCTGCTAGAAGATGATGGGAACACTGAATCTGTTTCATTCAGTGGTGGTTCGGGGAGTACGTTTTGTGCATGCACGCAAGCCCAGATGTGCGCTGCGCGCGTGTGTAAAACAAGCTTTAGTTGTGCCAACCGGACAGCTGAAAAGTGCTGCGTGCGGGTATGCAAGCATTACAAAAGCCTCTTTTCTCCTGCTTTTTCAACCTCAGCCGTGCCACGCAAAGCCTAGCTGAGGTTGCAAAAGCAGGAAATAAAGGACAGGTAAGAGACCAGGCGGGCGAGTGGGCCAAACAGCAGCAAACCCAGAACCGGTTCTATGTCTGCTGCTCTTCAGAGCTACCGGTTCTATAGAGCTGGGCAGAACCAGTAGCATCCCACCTCGGGTTTCATTACCCTTCAGGGATTTGTTCATTCAGAGCAGGCTTTTTCTCCTTGAGATGTGAAAGTATCGAAAATTCCTGAAAATATCAGGCGTTGCCATGTAGCTGGACGAAGCATCAACCATGTTGATGGGGCTTGGAGTGAGGAAGGGAAAATTCACCTGGCGCCTTTGCGTCAGTCTTGTCCTCTCGGGACCACTTACCTTGCAGGGTTATTGTTGAGGCCAATTAAATAAGAGAAGACCCTCCCCATGTAACCTCGATCCTTTACAGCAGGGGTCTCCATCCTTGGCAACTTTAAGACTTGTGGACTTCAACTCCCAGAGTTCCTCAGCCAGCTTTGCCTAGGTTGGAGAGCCCTGCTTTAAAGGAAAAGCAGATTACAGGCAAAAACCATCCCTAAACCCAAAATCTGGGGTAGAACCCAGTTTCCCTTGCTGCCCTCTCCTGGCCAAAGTACTTGTGAAAAGCCACATCCTTACCTTAGCTGTTCCCCTGTCAGAAGAACCTCGGCCATGCACTCCAGCTCAGCTGCCCTCTGTTGCAGGGTGCCCAAGCTATTTTCTTCCATTGCTGCAACCAGCCTGGCCAGAAACACACACACACAAACACACAGACACACATTAAAAACAAAGGAGAAGATGAAAGGCGCCCGATAACCTGGATGCACCTTTCAGCATCCCAAAGCTTGCAGGTGCTTCCCAGAGCCTCCGACTTTACGCTCAACCTTCCACGATCTATAACCGGGTGGCCAGGGGTGTCAAAAGGATGCAAGCACCGCTGGGCAATTCATCAGGAGCCCCGTCCTTGAACGGAATCTTAAAGACTTCCAGACGAGGCCTTGGAAGGCAACCGGGCACATGGCTGCGCGCCTCCCCCCCTCCCCTGCCAACTTGCTTTCTCGGAGCCTATTCTGCGCCTTGTTTTTTTCTCCCTTTTCAATTACCAATTCTTCCCAGCCGGCCTTCTGGAGCAGAAATCCAAGGCTTGCTCAATCGCTCGCGATCATTGCAATTTAAAGCAAGCTTCTCGGCGGTTTCCTTCCACGGACACCCCCCCCCCCCCCCCCCCACCCCGAGAAGCGCTTCTCTCGGACACGCCGCTTCCTCGGTTGCGCGCAACCCCACCCCCCCTGGAGCCGGGCAGCCAAGTGCGGAGACAAACCCACCCACCCGCTCCCAGCACCCCGATGCGCGCAGCTCTGGATCCCTTCAGCTCGCAATCGCCTCGGCTGCGCATAAGGCACGCCCCCCCCCCCCCCCCCCCGTCCACTGGCCCCCCCCCAAAAAAAACCCCAACCCCAGCCAACCTGACATTGGGCAAAGCGACGAGGGTTACAACCCGGGTTGGGTGACCAAAGGGGAGAATCCTGACCTGCGAGATTCCCAGCCAGCCAGCCCTGCTTTTCAGCGGACTCACCTGGATCGGGAAAGTGGCGCCTTCCCCCAGGGCGATCCAAGGGGGAGAAGGAGATTTTCCCCCGCAGGCTTCCTTGTTCTTCTTCTTCTTGTTGTTGTTGTGGTGGTGGTGGTTGTGGGTGACAGGCAGGCTGCGAGTGACACGTGGTTGCAGCAAAGCGCAGCCTGGCCAGCAGCGTCCCCCTCCGTCCGGCCCGGCGGCGAGGGGCTTCGCTGGGGCTGAAGGCGTGCGCTCGGGAGCGGCGGCGGCGGCGGCGGCGGCGGGGTTGGCACGGCGGAGCCAATTCGCCTCGAGGTCGGGGGCGGGGAGGGGCGCTGGGAAGCATGGGGAGGAAGGGCGGGTGGGAAACGATTGCGACGCGGTTAGCAACAACCTTCAAGAACGCCGGAGCGGACAAGTGAGTGGAAGGAGGCGTTTCTTGGAGCGCGGAGACCCCCCCACTCCCCACTCCCCTCCCCTTCGCCGCTTCCATGCAGTTTTTCCTGTTTTTCTTCCTCCTCCTCCTCCCTTCCCCCCCCCCCCCCAAACGGGAGGAGGCTTGGAGTCCCGGGAAGCGGCCCAAAGGGAAATCGATAAAAAGCAATTAGCCTCGGGTTCCTCAATTTAAAAGTCGCACGGATCCCCGGCCCAATTTCTGGATCGAGTCGAGAGGCTTCCTGGATCTTGGCTGGCTTGCACCGCACTGCTGGCTGTTCTTTTGCGGAGCAGAAAGGAACGTTGTCTTGCTCGGCTGCTCGTTTTCCCACTCGGTTTGCTTGCGTTTTCCGGCTGCTGCGGGGGAAATACATCAACTGAGGGATAGAACAGAACAGAACAGAACAGAATATTATAGAATAGAATAGAACAGAACAGAATATTATAGAATAGAATAGAATAGAATAGAATAGAATAGAATAGAATAGAATAGAATAGAATAGAATAGAATTCTTTTTTGGCCAAGTGTGATTGGACACACAAGGAATTTGTTTTGGTGCAAATACTCTCAGTGTACACAAAAGAAAAGATACGTTCGTCAAGGGTCAGGAATCATAAGGTACCACACTTCATAGTAGTCATAGGATACAATAAGCAGTCAAATCATACTAGGAAACAGTCAATATAGGACGGTGCAAAGCAAGGAGCCCTTTGGCTTGTATGACAGTCGGGGCTGTGCAGTGCTTTGGTTAGATTAGCAGGATCGTTCATCTTTCTTTCACAAGCTGGTAGAGGTACTGCTCCCACCTCCACGTTTTAGTCTCCGGAGGCCCAGTGAGATGAATGGGACTGATCCCAAGGAACTCAGTGAGTTTCCAAGGCTTTGGGTGGGTTTGAACCTGGGTCTCCTTAACCCGGGTCCAACAACTTAACCAAATGTGACAAAATAGCAATAAAACGTAGGTAATCCACGTCTTAAAACAGTTCATCCAATAACCATTCAAAGTGACTTCTGACCCTTTTTCACAGCCTTTGTAATAACCCCATGATCATGTGATCAAATTTCAGCTGCTTGGTAACTGATTCATACTTACGACCCGTTGCTGTGTCCCAAGGTCATGGGATCACCTTTTGCAATCTTTTGACAAGCAAAGTCAAATGGGGAAGCCAGATTCACTTAACAACCGAGTTGTTATCGACTGCAGTGATTTACTTAACAACCTTGGCAAGAAAAGTCGTGAAATGGGGCAAAACTCCCTTAACAAATGTCTCATATAACAACACAAATTGGAGACTTCCAATCTATTCTGATTGATTGAAATTGTGGCCTCAATTGTGGTCATAAGTGAAGGACTGCCTGTACTTCGTAGGAAACTAAGCATTCTTTCTCCAAAACAGCCAGGTTGGTGGTGGGGTTAATGGGACAAGTCCAGTATTTTTCAACCTTGGCAACATTAAGAGGGGTGGATTTCAAATCCCAGAATTCTCCAGCCAACACATGTTGGCTGAGGAATTCTGGGAATTGAAGTCTACCCCTCTTAAATTTGCCAAAGTTGAGAAACACTAGTCTAGTCTATATTCAACCACTGGGTGACTTTGGGCCAGTTACTTTCTCTTCCCCGCCTTACCTCACAGGGTTGTTGTTGGCAAAAAAAAAAAAGGAGGAAGGTCAATCTATATATCCTGGCCAGTGTTGTTGTACATAAAACAGAATAGAAATCTAATAAATAGGTGTTTTTCTGGCGTGGAAGGATTTCATCGCTTGGATAAAAATCTCCTTTATCTCAGGTCGATTTCTGGTAACCCGGGGTGGGGAAATCTTGTCCCTTTTATGACTTGTGAACTTCAACTCCCAGAATTCCTGAGGCAGCATGGCTGGCTTAAGAATTCTGGGAGTTGAGGTTCCTCACCCCTGTGGTAACCACATGGACCCATTGTATGAGCAGTGAGAGGTGTTTATTTATTCAGCTTATATGACTGCCCATTTCACATGCAGTTTTGCTGCTGCTTCTGTCACGGATGCTTTTCAAACTTTCCAATAAAAGGAAAGTAAACATAGAAAGAGGTTCAGAGTTATGCCTTTCTTTCTATCAGAGCAGAACAGAATATGTGGGTGTAGAAGCCAACGAATGAAAAACAAAGTTTGAAAGTGGCAGGAGAGGGGAACATTAAAAATGTCCCCAGTGCATCCCTAGGGGAGAAGCAATGGGACAGTGATGCGGAATGTGGCCATCAGCTTCATTCTAAACCCCTGACCCTTCTTATCAAAAAATTTCAAGCTAAACCTGCTATTATTAAGCAGTTAAAAAAACCCTTCAGAAACCACTTACCTTGACTTTCCGGTTTAGTCTACAGTCTAGATTAGATGGGAGGAGAGGCAGACAAATCTAATAAATAAAATTTCTACTGGTCTCCCACCCAAGTACCACTGGATCAGACCCTGGTTAGATTTCCGAAATCTGAAAAAGTTATCTATACACTGCTACCTAGCTGAATACCTCTTGAAATCAGCTTTAAACAAAAAGTGTTCAGGGTTTTTTCTTGATAATTCTCAAAGTTTGATTAACAGCCACCATCAATATGGAGGCTCATTTGCAGGTGTTGGCATTTTGTTAAATCATCTCCTGGTATTTCTTGCCCAAGATTTCCAGTTCAACATTTTCATTGTTGTGTATAACAAATCTGCTACAAATTCCCCAAAGGAAAAGAAAACAGGAGAGATGAAGAAAGTGTTTAGCCTACAGTACTCTAATCCAGAGGCTTTTATTGGTTTTTAAGAGTAAAGTGCTTTATTGTATAGCTTTAAAATCACAGCATGATGTCAATTGACACCATATTAACGAAATAGGCTTCTTAAGTGAGCTTTTCAGTAATTAAAAATCCTGAAGTGTCACAGTCTATGTATCAAATACTATTTCATTCTTATTTTCTATACATAATATGATAATTGATAATATTGTCCTTTTACTAATGGATTTGCTATGTTAATGTTTTTTCTCTCCTTGTAACATTAAAGAAGCATTAAATTATCCTTCAAAAGTTACCAAATGCTTTTAAAAATGTAATACGTATGATATATATGCAAAAAAAAAAAAGAGAGAGAGAGGCTCCTTGGATGAGAAGTGAAACACTTCCAAAAAACCCAAGGAAGTCCAGTTGCCTTTGGAAAAAAAAAAAGCACAGTTGGGATTTCAGAACAGACCCACCCTGGTTTCTGGAAACTAAATTCAAAGGAGGTATAATGGTATGTGAAAATGACCTTGGAAGACAGGGCAAAGAGATTCTGCCAAGGGAACAGTCAGATAAACAAGACTGAAGTTGGCCTTGCAGGACATACCAGATAAGAAACACAACCAGATCAGCTTACTTTATTGTAATGTTACACTGATAGAATCTTGCAATTCTGAAAACATGTTTTTCCTCTCTCCCATCTCCTTTACAAGCCCAAAACGTAGGGAGGGCCTCTTGTGAGCCTCTTACCCAGCCCACTATCCATCTACAGGCTATGTTGTCCCTTATCTGACTGTTCCCTTGGCAATGTCTCTTGACACAGTCTGCCAAGGCCATCCACACATATTACAGAAGGGAAGAAATCCTTTTCAGATTTCCAAGATTCTGTTACTGTAACCTTATAATAAAGGTAGTTTTATACTCATGGTTTTTCTTCTTGTCTGGATTACCTCAAAAGGATGACAATCACTTACCCGGAAGATCTGCTGGGTTTTTCCTTATCAGGTTAAGGATAGGAAAGAATGAGAGAGAAGCCTTTTTCTATAGCTGTTTCACATTTTGAAATCTATTTTTATTTATTTGGTTTGTCAATTGCTTACAAGATAATAGGTATAAGTAAAAACATAGTTATGAATACATGGATACATATAAGAAAAATAAAAAAATAAAAGAAACGATAGGACAGGGACGGTAGGCATGTTGGTACGCTTATGCATGCCCCGTACAGGCCTCTTAGGAAAGGGGTGAGGTCAATAGTAGACAGTCTAAGGTTAAACAGTCTAAGGTTTTGGGGTTTGGGGAAGAACATAAGGCCTATGAGTACTTTGAAGAGTATGAATGATGCTTGGAATTGGTTTTTAGCAATATTTAAGAAATGTTATTTGTGAACTGTTATTTTTTCCTTTACGATTTTGAAAGTTACTGTCAATTTTTAAAGTAGAAGGGAGTACAAGGAATACAGTAAACTAGTAAATCTTTAAAAAAAAACTTTTTCAACTGCTTTTCCTTCTGAAGAGCCCGGAGCACCTCACAAAAGAATCATGAAAATGATCTGGAATGAAACCGTGAAGATTGCTATCTTGCTGTGTCCATAAAAGGCTACAGAAATGAAATAAGGTTCATTAAAATAAAGAACAGTCTACAGTTATGTCCTGTAAGCGGCTCTTGCTATCGTGCAAACGTGTGAATGAATAAAAATCTCACTTGTCATTTGAAGCGAGATTGTGTCTCTCACGGAAGTCAGCTTCCTGAGTTGAAGTGTTGCAACCCATCATCAACAAGGCTCTGTTTTTAATCATCCCACTGTAAGACTGATCCAACCACAGGCCAAGAACAGGGCATCTCCCTCTGAGTTTAGGTGACATTGGGGGAGTGGGTCTCATAAAAACCTGGAGCCTGAGCAACTGGTTCCACTTGCTTTGTCAAGGAAGGGAGATAAACCTTAAACTGTGTCAGCCTTGCAAGATAGATCAGACAAGAAGCCCACAGCCATAGCACTAGCTCTATCTTGATTGTTAAGGGTATAATAACAATCTTGCAGGTATGAAAGTCCATCTCTCTCCCCACCCACCTCCACTTTTATAGTCCAAGAAACTAGGGAGGATCTCTTCTGAGATATTTTCCATGTTTCCATTTCTTCTGAGGGCTCAG